GGGGTGGGGGGGAGTGAGGGGGAACAGATGTAATACTTTCATCAATAAAGACTTTTAAAACAAATCTCTGAGTTATGGATGTCTCTCCTTTGGAAGGGAGGTGCCTTGGGAGGGGGCTGGCTTTTCCCTAGGCAAAGGTCCTAAGGATGGCCAACCTAGAGTAACAGGGCTTCTGGGGAAAGAGCCTAGAGGCCTTAAATAGTTCTTCCAGACAGTTCTCCCCATTGTTGCCATAGATATCAGAAACAATTCCTTTAGCACTGATATATACAAGACTCTGTCAAATGATGTTTTGAATTATAAATGACAAAGAGCATTCTCCATAGACACAGACAACAGTATGGTGATTACCAGAGGGTAAAGAGGGTTGGGGGGCGGGGGGGGAGGAAAAAGAAAGGATAAGTGGAAGGAGACTTGACTTGGGTGGTGAACAGACAATACAATATACAGATGACGTATTATAGAATTGTACACCTGAAACCATTATAATTTTATTAACCAATGTCACCCCAATAAATTCAATAAAAAAGAGTTCTCATATACTTTACCAAACATGCATGTTAAAAATGGCAAAGAGCCTGGCTGGTGTGGCTTGGTGATGGAGCATCGACCTATGAACCAGGAGGTCACGGTTTGGTTCCCAGTCAGGGCTCTATCCCCAGTGTGAGGGTGAGCAGGAGGTAGCTGATCAATGATTCTCATCATTGATATCTCTATCTCTCCCTCCCCCTTCCTCTCTGAAATCAATACAAAAAATTTTTAATGGCAAAGAGAAGAATTGCGATCTTTTAGAAATTTTTGTTACAATTTTGTGAACCATTTATTATTTATTACTACATGTCATGGTGAGGGAAAGGGGTGCAGAATACACACTGGCATAAAATTATTTTGAGCAGAAGACACTTGAGTTTCTGAAATCTCTTACCTGCCTAAAAGCATAGACTCCTCAAAGAACTTCCAAAAATTCAATTGTCATAAATCTCCTCTCAGGGAGCAACTGGAGATCAGAAGTCTTCACCACACACCTAAACAGACACGGTCACAAAGCTATCATATCACCCATCTCTTCTCCTAAGGCAGTGGTTCTCAACCTTCTGGTCCTTTAAATACAGTTCCTCATGCTGTGATCCAACCATAAAATTATTTTTGTTGCTACTTCATAACTGTAATGTTGCTACTGTTATGAAGTGTAATGTCAATATCTGATATGCAGGATGGTCTTAGGCGACCCCTGTGAAAGGGTCATTTGCCCGCCCAAGGGGTCGCGACCCACAGGTTGAGAACCGCTGTCCTAAGGGCTCATTTATATTTGCAGAAAGTCATTTATTTTGCTGTAAGTGCCCTTCTCTCCATCCCCTTTCCCTATTAAGATGGTATCTAAGGCCCTAGCCAGTTGGCTCAGTGGATAGAGCGTTGGCCTGTGGATTGAAGGTCCCAGGTTCGATTCCGTTCAGGGCATACGCCTGGGTTGCCAGCTCGATCACCAGTAGGAGGCAGCTGATCCATGATTCTCTCTCATCACTGATATTTCTATTTCTCTCTTCCTCTCCCTTCCTCTCTGAAATCAATTTAAAAAAAAATGATCGCATCTAAGCCCCAAATTTTAACTTGTCCCTTTGAGTCACATTTTTCTGTACAGAACTCCTATACATACATTAACTTTAAAATGTGTGATTAAATTTTGTTT